CACGGCAACGCCCAAACAAAGTCCGTAGAGCAAATCAAGATCCTCCCGTGAGTATTCATCAGATTCTGCAAGTACGAAGCTCGAGTGTTGATAAGATCGACGTCGCAAATAGTATAATTAGCGGGTAATAAGAGGTTCGAACTCTTTACCTTCCGGTTAACAGCCAGATGCTCCACCGAATTGAGCTAATTACCCTTTATTAATATTAAAAAAATAAAACAATAGCGCGCGGCCCTGGTCTTCAAAGCCCTCTCAAACTCATGAAGCCAGGCCAACGAAATCATATTCTTTGAATGTGCCTTTAGCGTGTGTAAGTTTTATTTCTCGCTTAGCTGTCGCCAGCGATTATTAATTATAAATGTAGCTAACGAGCGACGCAGTTTCGCCACGACTCGTTCACCAGGGATTTGACTTTATCCGGTCCTCTCGTACTAGGAGTAAGGCCTCGACACGTTAATTATCTAAAGTAGATAGGGACCGAACTGTTTCACAACGTTCTAAACCCAGCTCATGTACCGCTTTAATTGGTGAACAACCAAACCCTTGGAACCGCTTTCAGCTCCGGGATGCGATAAGCCGACATCGAGGTGCCAGATCACTCCATCGATAGGAACTCTAAAGAGTGGTAAGCCTGTTATCCCTAGCGTACCTTTTATCTTTTGCGCGATGTTTTGTTTCGAAGAAAACACCGGGTCACTATGTCCGACCGTATAGATCTTGGTTCGACTGCAACGTCTCACCATCAAGCAGGTATCTGCCATTGCGCTCGCCAACCTAGCCCCCTAGGTTTGAATCTGCTATTGTGAGCCCTCGTTGCTATCTGGAAGGTGACCGCCCCAGTCAAACTACCTCGCCTGCATTATTAGCAATTACTTATTTCAAAGCTGTAGCAGCTGTTGAAACGGTTTCGCCTCGTCGTCACATAAATAACAGAATGGTCTTTCACCTTGCGCGGTACACGTTGCTAGCGCTACGTTTTCCTCCGCTTCCACTTAGCCTACACAATTATTTTGTAAACGCTATGCAGAACGTATAGTAAAGGTGCATAGGGTCTTTCCGTCTAGCTTTAGAGAATTCCGCATCTTCACGGAAAGTTCAATTTCACTGAGATGTTACTGGAGACAGTAGAGAGATCGTTCGATCATTCGTGCAGGACGGAACTTACCCGCCAAGGAATTTCGCTACCTTAGGACCGTCAGAGTTACAGCCGCCG